TATAATATAAAAATATATCAATTAATTAATTAATTAAAAAAAACACACACACACACACAAAAATTAGAGATGGGCGATAACAATATACACTTGCAAGGTTTAGATAGGCTTAGAGATAACCACCACGTCCAACAAAACCTTGATGAGCACGTTAGGTTCCAAAACGCTCCTCGCTTAACTCTAAGAAATTATAACACTCCGTATGTTTTCTATAAGAACCGTTCTTCCATTAGTCTACAACCCATTAACGTAGACTATGAGATTAGCCCGAAGCTCATAAAATTGGTCAAGCAGAACCGGTTCCATGGCGATGCATCGGAGAATCCTATGGACCATCTCGAAGATTTTGAAGAAATCTGCAGTACCAAGCAATCCATCGGATTTCCTGCAGATTACATAAAGTGCAAGTTGTTTCCATTTTCTCTTTGTGATAAGGCGCATGCTTGGTTCAAATCTTTGTCTCCTGGTTCACTCGAATCATGGGACGAATGCAAGGCTGCCTTCCTTAACCATTTCTACACCACCGCTAGATCAAACATCTTTAGAGACAAGATTTATAGATTCCAACAAAAAGGAGGCGAACCTTTTCATGAAGTTTGGGATCGTTATAAAGGGTACATTAGAGAATGTCATCACCACGGTTTTACAGAGACATGCATCTTGAACACTTTCTACGAAGGTCTTGAATGCACATCTAAGGCACCTCCAAATGTAGCAAGCGATGGAAACTTCATGACAAGGACTGTGGAAGAAGCTTGCATCTTGATTAATAATCTTGCTGCAAGCAGCAGAAACAATTGTCCTGATCAAGGAAGAACATCATGTTCTACTTCCCATGATCATAAGGAGATTGAAGAACTTAAAGCCATGGTGAAATTGTTTCTCCAAAATCAGCAGCGTTCTGTTAATGTCTGCGAAGAAGTTAATGCAGCTGAGATTAATCATCAACCTGGAGCACAAGATCACGCCCATATGAATCTCCAATCTTCTCCAAAATCATCTCCAACCTCTCAAGACAACAAGCTCGAGCTTATGGTGCAACCACTTCTTATGAAGCTGCAAAGATTAGCAGACGATGTGGATATAAGAGTGGACTGCTTATACACTGACCTTAATGGTAAATTTGAAGCTCTTACCACTCATGTTGATAGCATGCACATGCAGTTATCGCAAATCATAGATAGTTCAAAAAGCACTGAAGCTATGGAGAGACGAATCACTGAGGTACATGAAGAAATCGCCCAAGACATCCGCAACCTTGAGCTTAAGTTAGACAACATGAATGATCTTGGGTACAAGTTAGACATCATGAATGATCACCTCAACAAGAACAATGAGGAGTCATTTCAGAAGTTCACTAACCTCTCAAATCATGTCAAGATGCTCGAGAAACAAATTGGACAAATTGGAGAAAGTGTGAAGAGACAAGATGGTCACCTTCCGGGAAAAACCGTAGACAATCCAATGTGGCGTTGCAATGTCATAATTAAACACTGATGGTGAGAGAGAATTCACGCCTATTCCTAGCAATCAAGACACCGAAGTTGAATCTCCAGCATGTCCGGAAGAGTATGATGCAATAGGCAAAGTTCCACACCAAAGGAAGCTTCATAAGATAAATGATTCAGTGAAGTTTGTCTTCCCCTGCATTATTAAAGGTAGGGAATTTTCTGACTCTCTATGTGACACAGGAGCAAATGTGAATGTCATGTCCAAAGCAGTTGCAAACGAGCTGGGGATGTTTGATATCAAACCTCCTCATGGTTCTGTTATGTTTGGAGACAATTCAAGCACGATTCCATACGGTTTCGTAACAGATTTGATGGTGAAAGTAGGAGGGTGTCTTGTTCCTGTTGATTTTCACATTCTTGAGATGGAAAATGACTCTCGCAGGACATTGATATTTGGAAGTTCATTCCTTGCAACAGTGGGGGCAGTTGTTGATTATCCCAACCGAAGAGTTTGTTTTTCTAAAGTCAAAAAGAGAATCTTTTATCCTGCAGTCTGTAGTGGTGGAAGCTCGTACTGTATAACCATCTACAAGGAAGAGAAGTCGATTTTAGACCCTGGAGATAACAAGGAAAGGTGCCAACACGTTTCTATACAAGCCCTTTCAGTTGAGCCTAAGGGAGTTGTCGAATCGAGAAAATCTAAGCACAAAGCAAGGAAGTCTAAGCGCAAATCAAAGAAATCTAAGGGCAACACTACCTCACCTGATGCAAGCTCGACATTGACTTCTCAAAACCCTATTGAAGACGTGGAGAAAGATGGTAATGCTAAAGTAGTCACCCCATAGAAACGTCCAACCCCACCTCCAAAAGCAAAACCCTCCGAGCTTCCTTGGTTTATGCATATCGCGAATTACCTAGCAGCGGAGGTTGAACCGCCACGATTCTTTGGCTACAACAAAAAGAAGTTCTTGCGTGATATAAGAAGGTACTTTTGGGATGAACCATATCTTTATAAGCAGTGTGCAGATAACTTGTTTCGCAGGTGCATCTCTGAAGACGAAGTTCCAGAAATCCTTTTTCATTGTCACGGATCTAACTATGCTGGACACTTTGCTACTGATAAGACTGTAGCGAAGGTTTTACAAGCTGGTTATTGGTGGCCTACCATGTTCAAGGACACCCATAAATTCATATCTAAGTGTGATGCTTGCCAAAGACAAGGGAACATCAGCAAACGACATGAGATGCCACAAAACCTCATTCAAGAAGTCGAAGTTTTTGATGTTTGGAGAATCGACTTTATGGGTCCTTTTCCTTCGTCTTTTGGAAACAAGTACATCCTTGTTGCTGTTGACTACGTGTCTAAGTGGGTAGAAGCCATAGCCAGCCCCAAAAATGACGCAAAAGTAGTAATGAAGATGTTCAAGTCGATCATATTTCCAAGATTTGGTGTTCCGTGACTCGTCATCAGTGATGGTGGTTCTCACTTCATCAACAAAGTGTTTGAGAATCTCTTGAAGAAAAATGAAGTGAAACATAAGGTAGCTACACCTTATCACACACAGAAGAGTGGCCAAGTGGAGGTATCAAACAGAGAACTCAAAAGAATTTTGGAAAAGACAATAGGACCAACAAGAAAAGATTGATCAGCAAAGCTTGATGATGCTCTTTGGGCATATAGAACTGCGTTCAAAACCCCATTGGGTACTACACCTTTTCAACTTGTTTATGGTAAGGCTTGTCATCTTCCATGGGATTTAGAGCTCAGGGCAGAATGGGCCATAAGAAAGCTGAATTACGACATCCAGACAGCAGGTGCAAAACGTTTGATTCAGCCAAATGAGTTAGACGAGATTCGCCATAACGCCTATGAGAATTCTAAGATCTATAAGGAGAAGACGAAGGAGTTTTATGACAGGAAAATAGTTCATAAGACGTTCTCACCTAATGACCAGGTTCTACTTTATAACTCACGGTTAAAGTTATTTCCTGGGAAGCTTAGATCACGATGGTCAGGGCCTTTCAAGATCAAAGAAGTTTTACCATATGGTGCTGTGGTTCTATGAAACCGTCAAGGAGGCGATTTCACTGTCAATGGACAACGTCTTAAGCCATATCTTGCAGACATTCAAGAAGAAAAGGAAGATCCGATCTCCTTAGCAGATGCGCCTAATGCCTAAAAAACGACCAAGTCAAGCTAACGACTTAAAACAAGCGCTTAGTGGGAGGCAACCCGCTTGGTATTTTACTTATTTCCTTTTGATCATGTGATTGCTTGTTGCATCTTTCTTTGTAAGATTCGGTCTCCCTTAAGTAGAAACCGTTTGTTCATTATTAAACTTGATACTCTATGCTTGTTGATTGCTTGATCTTGCTTAAGGTGAATTAATCTTGATTAAGTGATTTACAAAGGAATTATTGTCATGGGAATGAATTAATCTGCTTTTGGAGTCTAGACTAAAGAGTAACTTGCATTGCATTATTGTTCTTAGCATCATGAATCAATATCTAAAGCACCCTAATCAATGATCACATCTAGAGGTTTATCTTTAATCATTTGCTTAATCATCATCTTTCTTGTTTAGCTTGCTTGTTTTGTTCATTAATCATTACTTGTTTGCTTCTTGTTTAGGCTTATTTTGTTACTTGTTACCAAACCCCTTCTTTGATCACTTGACTTAAGAACTTATATTATAAACTAGTGACTAACTACCACACATATGGATTGACACCCCTTATACTACTTTGACAAGGGGATTGATAACCCTTCTAAGAGCTAAAAACTCTTAGTTATCAATTGGCGTCGTTGCCATACTGTGTGGGGATTGTTAGCATTAGTTTCTGATATAGTTTTTGAGATCAAGTTTAGTTTGTTTTACTGATTCCTTTTCAAGTTCTGTCTTTGTTTTCAGGTGAATGATCACAAGAGGTCAACTTAGAAGACAAAGAGAAAGAGCTGCTCACTTGAAAAGATTGGGAATGGATCAGCAAGTTGGGATTGAGCACCAGGATCAAGAAGCTGCGCATGGTCAAGGAGCTGGTATTGGAGCTAATGGGAACAGAAATCAGGTTCCACAGGATCAGGTCCATCAGGGACAAGCTCAGGGTAATCAAAACCAAGACCGGCCTCAGGTTAATCAACCGCAACCCCACCCAAACCCACCCAGGCATCAAGAGCCTCCACTGGTCTATGTATGAGATAATGACCGAGCCAATACACACCAATACAGAGCAGGGATTCAAGCACCACCGGTTCAGAACAATAATTTTGAGGTGAAGGCTTCTTTGCTAAACATGGTGCAGAACTCTAAGTTACATGGCTTACCAATGGAGGATCCTTTGGAGCATTTAGATCAATTTGACAGTGTTTGTGATCTAACTAAGATCAATGGTGTATCTAAAGATAGCTTCAAGCTCAGATTGTTCTCATTCAGTTTAGGAGACAAGGCACACCAATGGGAGAAGAACCTACCTAGAGGTTCAATACAGACTTGGGAACTATGCAAGTTAGCATTCTTGTCTAAGTTCTTCTGAACTTCTCGAACAGCCAAGCTAAGGAAAAAGATTTCAAGCTTCACTCAGCATTCTAATGAGACTTTTGGAGAAGCTTGGGGCAGATTTAGAAGCTATACAACTCAGTGCCCACATCATGGCTTTTCAGAAGCCTCTCTCCTTAGCACTTTGTATAGAGGAGCTGTTCCCAAGATCAGGACTCAGTTGGACACAGCATCAAATGGAAATTTCTTGGAAAAAGAAATCAATGCAGCTATGGAACTTGTTGAGAACCTCGCCATGAGCCAAGACACTTATGGGGAAGACTATGACCGATGCTATAGAGGAGAAGCTTCTAGTAAACAACAAGAGCTGGAAAAGGATCTAGAAGAGTTGAAAGTTAAGTTTGCAAAGCTTGTAATGGCCACTCGCAACTTATAAACTATGTGGCTGAAGAGAAGAGTTGCTTTACCAATGTCAATGAAGCTGGTCTTGCTCAAGAGGAATTTCACTTCATTGGGATCCAGAATAAGTTTCAAGGATACACTCCTCAAGGCTTTGCTTAACAATCTTATCAGCCACAAGCGGTTCAGGCACAAGGGAACAGCTTCACAAACCAAGTCAGCTTTCAGCAACAAAGGCCTCCACCTCTTGGATTCGGTCAGACACAGTTTCAGCAGGGTTCTGTGCCACAGCAAGGTCCTGATATTGGTATTGTTCTCCAACAGCTATTACAAGGACAACAAAAGCTTGATTCTAAGTGTCTTGACCTGACTTCTAAGATGGAGACACTAGGCTCTGAACTTAAGACTCTTAGAAAGAACAAGGGCATCTTCACTTCAGAAACTCAAGTCTCTCTTCCTGGTAAGCTGTTCAAAACCCCAAAGATTATTGCAATGCCATCTACTCAAGTGATGATCACTCAGCTGCTGTTCAAGAGATTGAATACCTTATTTATGGTCAAATCTCTGATGGGTCCAGCCCTAATAATGAGGAAGAGGACGCCATTATAGAGGACTTTATGAGCTTGTTACCTGATCTCAATGAGGACATTGCAAAACAAGGTGGAGGGGCAGCCTGTTGAGTTTGTTATTTGCAGCATTGGAATAATTTTGTTGAGAAATGGAACAATGCAGGGACTGTTGAAGTAAAGGACCAGCCGGTTACTCACGTACAGACAAAGAATGATGTCTCCAGCCTAGATTCACCAAATTTGAAGCCTACAGCACTCCCAAAGCTGGGTAATCTAGGGAAATTTACTATCTCTTGCACTCTTGGGAATGCCTTGTGTGATTCAGGCTCAAGTGTAAATGTGATGTCTCTTAACATGATGGAGAGACTTGGGATCAAGAACTTAAAGGAGTATCCTTCTTCCATCACTTTTGTTGATTCATACTCAAATAAACCTCATGGGCTGATAGAGAACTATCCATTGAAGGTTGGTGAGTGCATAATTCCAACTGATTTCATAGTCATGAAGATGAAAAAGACCAAGGAGCTTCCACCTTTGCTTGGGACTTCATTCCTTAACACAACAGGTGCAAGGATTGACTTTGATACTCAAAGAGTGGTGCTTACAAAGATGGATAAGGACGTCTCTTACCCTGTTAAGCCTCCTTTAGATGAATTTTGTGGATCAGCTGTTCAAGAGATAGAAGAGCCAAAGGTGCTTGAGATGCATTATGTGGGAAGTGTTGGCAGTTTAGGAGGAACTCAACCCCTTTCATCTGTGGAGAAAGGAGAACAAGCCCACATCAAATCTGTCTATAAGTATGAAAATAGAGAGCCTTCCATTAGATTAGAAGATATCTTCCCCACATGGTTTCCTACACTAAGTGAGTTAGAGCTGATAAAAAAAAAGGTGAAAGTTCTGAATCAAAAGAAAAGAACCTTGAACCTGAATCTTCTTCTCAAGACTTTCCTCTCACCCCTGGGACATGTGATGATGGAGCTGTAATGTACAAGCTTGATTGCAATGGAAAATCAGGACCATTTGCTGAACTCAGGACCGGTCTCACAAAGGCAATCATTGACAAGGATTCTGATGGTATTCAAGAGCTGATGCAAAAGGGTCTCAAGCTTGAGTTAAAGGGAAATGGGTCTGATGTTTCTCTAAAGGAGCAAAGCTCAGCTTTCATGCTTAAGATAATTGGCATGTTCAAGAGCATCAGTGCTCCTTCTCACCCAACCTAAGAAAGGTTTTGCAAAGTCAAACTTAGTGACTTTAAATAAAGTGCTCTTCGCAGACAACCCAAGCTTATTCTTGTATATAGATCTTTATAATCTTTTCTTTAGTGTTTTTGGAATGTTTTGATGGGTTTGCTAAGTGATCTCAGGTTCTAGGAAGTGTTCTTGCTCAATGGTTTGAAGGAACAAGTGCAGGAAGGAGTTTAAAGCTGGCGGCCTTGTGATTCAAAGGAGCAGTGAACATGGCCTCGGTATAGCCTATGCCGAGGAGTGGTATGTAAAAACCTCGGACAGACACCTCGCCCTAACTCATACCGAGGCCATGAGCTGATCCTTTTAGAGACTAAGTGCTGAGAGATTGATAACTAAGAGTTTTCAAGGCTCTTTGTAGAGGTTATCAATCCCCTGTCTTGTAGTACAAGGGGTTTATCAATCCATATGTGGTGTTAGACACTAAACTATGTGATCAAATTCTTAATTCAAGCAAACAAGAGTGGTTTTGATTAACTAATGACAACTACAAACTTAAAAACAGGATTAAAGACTAAAGATGAACTAAACAATGACAAGTTATATGAATATGATATGATGGAGGCATGAGATTCTAGACATGATAGTTGGTTAGGGTGCTTTGGTGCTAAACTAGGAATGCTAATGACAATGATGAGACATGATTCAAAGGATTAAGAACTCTAATCTAGGTTAATCCTCTCATGAAGGTATTAACCCCTATACTAATCCATTTCAAACCAAATCATCATTGTGAAATATGAATCAGCATGCATTAATAAACAGTTCTAAATGATCATTCAAGCAAATAACAATACATCATCATGCAGCTAGATTGTCAAATTAAGGTTCTCACTTAGATAAGGCTGGACTATTCAACGCTTGATTCACTCAACAAGTTCAAAGCATGGATCAGTCTTGATTTCATTCTAGTTTACATGCAGCAAAGAACTAGAAACTAGGGCAGTGAACTGAATTCTTAAAGTGATATTCTCTCAAGGAAAAACCTATCATTACTCCCTTGCATTGATGCAGCCTACATGAATATGCTACTAGACTCAATCCTAAAAATGAGAATGCAACTACATGATCATTTTTTTTGTGAAAATTTTTCATATTTTTCAAATTTTTTGGTTTTTTATATGCACTTAGATGAAACTACATGAATGCATGCAAGAATGTGACTCAAGACTCAAAGTGTAAAATAAAAACAGAGAAAAAATGATTAGTAAAGGATGAAACTCCTCCCCCACACTTAAATAACACAGTCCTTTGTGTTATAAATGCATGAGAAAGGAGTTAAAGCAAAGCAAACAAGTAAAATGCAAAAGGGAAAAGAAGATCTACATGCATATATACAGAGTTTTGAGTGTTTACCTCAATCACTGAGGTCTGATCCCAGGTAGTGGGATGGGTTGGAGGTGGAACATGATGGAGTTGAGTATCTAGGTGGGCTGCTCTCAGGTGAGTCTGGTAGGAACGCTGTGGCCGGGTTCACCCAGTCTTCTTTTCCTGGTGGTAACACAAGGTCATGAGCGATTGAGCTTTCTGCCACATCTTCTCTTGCATCTTGTTTGGGTGAGGTGGCTGGAGCTTTGAGTTTTTTAACCTTCTTCTTAAGTTGCCTAACACAGTCAACGAGCTTGTGGATCGTTTTGTCTTGCCATTTGCACCATTTCTGAAGGCTGTTAACTCTGGAATACAGCTTCCTTGTGTGATATCAGGCTCACCCCAAAAGTAAGGATCAAAGTGGTACCGGCCTGCTCCCATCCTTCTTTCAAAATCTCTTGGCTCCTCGTTCTCACAACCGGCGGTCCTAGTTGTGCTCTGCTCTTCAACTGGCTCTTTACCCTTGGAACTTGCAGTCCTCTTGCATTTGCAAATTGGAGGGTGAATGGCTGGGTTGTAGAGCTGATCTTTTAGAACAATAAAGGAGACATTGTGCCTTTCTGTGAGGGTGGTGATGGCTGGGTGTGGCAACAGAACTTGAACTTTCTCATCTTGTAAGAGCTTGAAGGTGTACAAGAAGTTTTCACCATTGCTTTCTGCCAAGAACCCAACCTTGGTGAGGGTAGCTTCATCAATCAACTCATTCTTGACCTCAACATCATCAAAGACAAAACCTCTTGCTTTCAAAATCTTTGTCACTAGCCATCCATTGTGCAACTTAGTGAGCTTCTGCCTTTTACCCTCACTCCAAGCAATTTCTTTGTATATCAGCATATGGCGTGCCAAGAATGCACCACTAGATGGGATGTAATGTGGGAGACGAAATTCTCTCTTGCTCCTTAAGTGACTGATGAGAGGATGTAGACCCATACCCAGTAGTTCCATATCAGCTAGATGAACCACACCATCATTGTGCTTGGTAAAGAACATTTGGCAAAGCACCTTGTGAGCATAGCGGATGGCTGGGTTTCTTATCCATGAACTCTTGCATCTTCCTCCTCTGAAACTCCCAAAAGCAATTGTATCCCACAGGTCAGTAATCATGTGATCAGGGTATGTGTACTTCAGTGTCTCATCCTGTGTAGGTCTTGGAAAGGCAAAGATCTCATCTAGTTCCTTGAAGCTTACATGGTATTGTGTACCATTGATTGTGAACTCTATGTGCCCAAGACCATTTCCCTCCATGATCCTTTGATCTCTTGGGCCATATCCACAAACTTCAAGGGATGCAAGGAACTCTTGTGTTACACCATCATGAGCCACATCTTTCATCTCAAAGAATCCACCAAATCCCATGTTGTTAAAAATGAGAGCTGAACCTCTTCAAGAATCCCCATCTTTTTCAGCAGCTCCATGTCAGGGAACTTGGTTTGCAGCACCTTTACATTCTTGAGCAGAGCAAAGTAGTCATCAAAAGTTGGTTCTTTTTCCTCAGGTTCTGGTTTTCTTTTTGCTTTCTTAACCGGCTGCAATGCTATTTCAGGATCACTCTCTGTTTCTTCTTCATCCTCAGCCACAG